AATAGGATATAATTCTAACGAGCAGTGGGTTGACGTAAGAGGGAAGATCAAGCAGTTCTTTTGCCAAAACTGCTCATTATTGTAGATCCCCCAAAACTGATGGAGGGAGCAGCATCAGAAAAGAATCTGATGGCGAGTGATGTCTCTACTTGTTGTAGAGAAAAAAAAAAAAAATCTAAATGTATGTTATATGTGTTATATGTACATATGCTGTTCTGCCGTGCTCACAGCGAAAACACCAGACGGCCCTGGATGTGGTGTTGAAGTTTATGTGCCGCGATCAGTGAGGATGACATCATATTTAAAGGGATCGCTTTGGTGAGAGAATGGGCTGTGATTGGTGGGTGGCTGATAAGCACCCATAAACCTATTGGTAGCTGACAGCTGAGCACATGACTCCGTGTCCTCCATGAACTAACGCAATGCTTAATTTATTTTACATCCTGAGGCAGTGAGAAGTTCACTAAACAAAATAAATAAAAACAGATAAATCTAAGGTGTCCCAACAATCACAACTATGATTTTGGACATGAATAGATAGAATAGAATACAGAACATTATACATCTGTAACAATGTAAATGTTACTATACCAGCAACCAACTGAAAACAAGCATTGCATTTCTGGTGCATAGTAATAAAACTGATCTTTTAAATTACCTGTTCAGAAAAACAAAACTGGAAACCGTTTTCGCCTCTTTGATGACGTGTTATTATATATTAAGTATTATCCACCATTCAACCTAATTTCAATTAGCAAACGTCCAACAAACTTTATTTATAGATATTTTCCCATTTAACAGACAAAACATAATTTAAAGCACAATGCTAGTGTGGAAAAAAAGCCTAGAGCACAACAGCGACAACAACACAGAAAGATGATAGGAAGAAAAAACAAACAAAAAAGTGCATCACAGTATGTATTCAAGCAAATATTCAAGCACAGATAGGACACATCATGCAAGTTCATAGCACACATAGTTTAGAAATGGATCCCAGGTCAAATCTCTTTAGGGTGCCATTGAGGTTGCATCTCATTTTTTAAAGCTTTATTATGTGCTTAATGTATCTGATCTATTGAATAGAATTGAGTGTCTAGTTAATAAAGAAGGAAAGTCAATTACCTTCTGTAAGTGAGTTGGGAGATTGGAATCATTAGCTGAGAATACACCAAAAACATCAACTAAAGAAGCCTGAATGTCATAGTCACATGAGATCAAAAAAGTATGACCAAAAGGGAACAAGTTTTGGGCAAACTATAACATGTGGTAGATGGTTGCTGGGGTCTCCTGAAGTAGCACTTTAAACTGTATTAATCAATCAATCAATCAACATTTATTTATATAGCACCTTACAACAACCAAGGATTGACCAAAGTGCTTCACAATTGCAAATCCAACATACACAAACAGCAAACACAAGACAAGAACAACAGTTTCATTTGAAGGCTTGCTAGAACAAGTATGTTTTTAGCTTGGTTTTGAACAGAGGCAGGTCAGTGGTGGTGCATAGCTCAGAGGGCAGTGCATTCCAAAGTTTGGGACCTGCTACTGCAAATGATCGGTCACCCCACTGTGTGCTCCTGGATCGGGGGACCTCTAGCAGGTGCTGACCAGCAGAGCGGAGAGCTCTGCCGGGTTGGTGGAGCTTCAGGGTTTTGCTTCTGTAGGTGGGTGCAAGGCCATTTATTGAGTTGAATATGAATAATAAAGTTTTAAACTGGATCCTAAATTGTACAGGTAGCCAGTGAAGGGAGTAAAGTACGGGTGTGATGTGATCTCGTTTACGGGTGTTAGTTAGGAGCCTGGCAGCAGCATTTTGTACCAGTTGTAGGCGGTGGAGAGATGCTTGTCTAAGTCCAATGTACAGTATATTGCAATAATCCAGCCTTGAGCTAATAAAGGCATGGATGGCTCTTTCCAGTTCACAGCAGCTCAGAAACGGCTTAACTTTTGCAAGTAGGCGAAGCTGAAAGCTTAAGGCATGCCTTGAACATATACTGTAGAAGAGGAATGAACCCTTGCAAGGGCCATGTCCCATTCCTCATCTGACAGCAGGGACCCTATGTAATTTTCCCAATGTTCTCTAAAATGAAATATAGATAAATCATTGAGAATCTGCCCTTATCTACCATATTAACGCATAACAAAGAATCCAGGCAGGATAAAGGAGGGGTACTTGAAAAACGAATACCTGATTTGTAAGTAGCGGAAGTAATGACTACTAGTCACTTCGAATTTTTGGGAAAGTTATTCAAAGCTCTAAAGTCCCCAATACTACGTATACCCTTGACATGCCAAGCCTGGAAGCCTTTGTCTAACAAAGATGGCTGAAAAAGGTGATTATTAATTATAGGTGAGTAAATAGAAATTGCTAGTGAGGCCATGCCATTCCAATCCTTAACCACAGGGAGATTGCATTAAGAATATCACCTAGTAATATGAATGGAGTGTCAGGATTGGAGGTGTGTGTGGGGGGGGGACGTGGAAGGTAAAAGGGAAAGGGAAGGACCAAGACGCAGAAACTAAATACTGTTCAACAAAAGGTTTCCTTTATTTAAAATGTAAAAGTAACAAAAGCTATCTTCTATAAACAAAAGTCACACTCAAAAAACAGAGGAGTGGAACATGAAAGGACATGAAACAACTTACGGGGAAACATGGCGAGAGGAGACAGGACACATGACCATGACGAGGAATGACAAGAAACACGAACATGACGAGTATCGACGATGTACCAACAACCACATGGGGGAAACAACATAACTTAAATACACACTTGAACTAATGAGTAACTGGGGACAGGTAGCACAAGACAAACAGGTGAACATGATGACGGCAGGAAGTCAAAGGGAGAAAACACACCGGTAGCAGGGACTATAAAATAAAACAGGAAACAGAGGAACACTGAACAAACTTAAAACATAAATACAAAACGTAACAAAAACACTGTTGAGACATGAACTGAAAACTCTCTTCATAAACGGGAACAAAATACAATAACCAAGACAGGGATGAACACAGGAGAAGCACAGGGTGGAACATAAAGGAACGCAGAAGGGAACATGAGAGAACACAGGATGGGGCACAGAGGAACACAGAAAGGAACACGAGAGGAACACAGAGATGAACGTGGCGAGGGACAAAGAGGAGAACACAGGAGAGGGACACAAAGAGGGACGCAGGAAAAACAGGGTGGAACACAGAAGAGAACTTGAGAGGAGCACAGAAGGGAGACACAAGTGAGGGACAAAGGGGACAACAAACTTAAAACATGAATTCCAAACGTAACAAAAATGCAATGTAAACTAGAAATGAAAACGCTCTTTCTAAAAGAGGACAAAATACCATAACCATGACAGAAAACACCATACCCGTGACAAAATACAATACCTGTGAAAGAAAATACCATAACGTGACAAAATACAATACCCGTGACAGAAAATACCATAACTTGACAAAATACCACCATAACCGTGACATGGAGGTCTGAAAGGGACAATCCACCTAAGGTTTTTGGTCTTCCCATAAATTGTATCCTTAAACATTTTAATTTATAATTACAAATAAAGGAAGGGATCATCTTGTTGTATGAAAAGATTGTGGTATTGCTTGAAATAGATATAAAAATTTGGCACAATGCTCACTTTCCAACCACCATTGCATATTGAACATTTGGATCTGAGATAATGTTTGATGCACTAAATGGAACCTGGAAAGTATAGCTGCCCCCCAGCTTTTACAATCAAATTTTGAATAAAAGAGCTGACTCACCTTATCTTTTATGAATCCTAGAATGGTCTTTATTTCTAAGGTGAGTTTTCTGTATCAATACTTTGGCTACCCCAAGGTGTTGTAAATTGGATAGAACCATCTTTCTTTTGACCACATGGTTAAGACATTTTACATTCTAAATGATTATATTTACTTCTCCATTATCTGAGTTTGAATAGTAATTATTAAGTGGCATTAGAACTAATCATTTAAAATATATCAGAAAATATCATTTGAAATATATCAGAAAATATCATTTAAAATGAATCATCCAATCTGTGTTGGAAAGAATATTAATGAATGCACAAACAAAACAAAAAAACATACACAATATATGTACTGCTATATTTAACAAGTAATTAACAAAACATATATCCCTGTGCCTTGAGATGACCTTTAAACAGGTTAAGCATTTGCAAACTCTCATTTGCACCCTTCCTGCTTTTAAACAAATATTCTTTCTAACACTGGGAACCTCTATAAGAATATGATGCCTCAAACGTTAAATCATATTTTGATGCAACGTGACTTGTGTTGCCTAATGAAACGTTTTCTCAGAACTGTTTGGGCATGTACAAATTATGCTTGATTTTTCTTGTAAAATTGTGGTGTGCAGAACTGTTATTTAGAGTTGCCAATAACTACAGCTGTGAAATGTAATAGAGTACAAATTTAATATTTTACCCTGGGTTTTGGGAATTTACTACAAACTGTAAAGACTGTCCAATACTTAAAAAATTACTATGTTCTGATTTTGTGATTTTCATGTGATTAATCCTATCTTCCAATTCTCCTCTGACAGAATTCCCTTCATGGACATATGGCTATGAGGAAACTGTGAGTTTCAGTGCCTACACTGTAAGTAAGAGCCTTGGGAACAACTTCAATGTGTCCTTTTTCCTGAGGTCATTAAAGCCAGATGGACTGCTGTTCCAGCTGAGGAGACCTACAGAGGAGGAGGGGGAAAAGATCTACTTCTCAATCCATCTGGGGATGGGCAGAATTCTGGTTAGCTCTCTGCCTAACAGTGTCCCACTGACAGCACCAGTATTTGTGACCACTGGCCAGAGGCAACTTTTGCAGGTGGAAGTCCAACATAGACAAGTGATCTTTGAGCATGCAGGCCTTCGCTATGGAATAGGAGAGATCCCTGAAGTGAATATTAACAGTGGAGATCAGGCCTATGTAGGAGGGCTTCCAGGAGACTTGGACTCAGATGTGTGGGGGGGCTATTACAAAGGTTGCCTGCAGGACCTTCGTTTAGATTCAGTGCATTTGGATGCAGATGCCTGGAACATTTTGGATGAAGAGAAACTGCTTTTACCAAGTGATGCTGAAAATGTAAAGGAGGGGTGTGTCAGTGATGATACTTGCAAGGTAAGAAATACTTCCTCGCTCAGCTCCATGAACCATGCAGTTCTGTGGGCTGTCTCCTTCAAAGCTCATGTTCACACTGTACAGACCAGGGAGATCTGGTACCCCCCACCTCTTCCCAAAGCCCCTCGACAGACATTTCATCATGGTGTCATAAGATAATTTTTGTTCCTAGTCAAATTCATACACAAAAAATGGGCCTGCTGTATACTGTATCGTTAAACATTCATTAGCATTTCTTGGCCACATTTTTACAGATATACAAATAACATCCATATAGTGGAGCCTTTCGAAAGGGATAACAACACTGTAAAGTATACAGTTTTATTTGCTCTTGAGTTCTTTGTGTATAGATGATATATGTAATGTATACCAAAATGCTTCCTTATGCAGATGAAGCCTTGTCAAAACGGAGGAGAATGCACCATCACATTCAACGATTTTACATGCTCCTGTCTGGCAGAATACACCGGAAAGACCTGCAAAAAACGTGTTTGGTGTATAAGTGGTCCTTGTGTCAATGGTGGCCATTGTGTGGACCTCCCTGATGGATATGAATGTAAGAACATCTGCATCATTTTAAAACTGTCATTGTTTGGGCAATAACAGGCCCATATGGCATATTCACGGCCTTCAGGAAGTGTTTACTTCCCCTTTACTTTTTGCACAAAGACAATTTTGTTGAGTTAATTTTGTTAATCTGCAAAATTGTAAGTTTTGTCCATTTACAATTAATCAATCAATCAAATTTTATTTGTATTGCCCATATTCACAAATCACAAACTCTCAACAAGAGTGAGGAAAAACTACCAAAAGAAAACTTTTAACAGGGGAAAAATAACATAGAAACCTCAGAGAGAGCCACATGTGAGGGATCCGTCCCCCAGGATGGACAGAGGCGCATAGATGCCATGTGCAATGGAGAACATCAGATAAATAAGAGTAATTACAGCATTGGTTAGAGTAAACAGTTAGAAGCATATTGGAAGGTAAATGAATTGAGGGATTATTATTATAGAGGAGACATATTAAATTAAATGAACAAAACTGACAATTTTGCAGATCAATCTTATCAAAACTGAAAGTTGTATTGTGACCGATTACCTTGATGAATCTTGAAGATTTAGTGGACAATTGCATTGGTTGTTCACCTTTTGAAAGTAATCTTTTACATATGCAGTAACTATGCCAATTAAATAATGTTGCATTCACATTACCATGACATGGGACTATGAAAAATAGATCCCAAGTTCAAAAGACACTGAACTTTACAGAGCAGTAAAGTAAAGTAGCCACAGTAGTTCCTAACCCATTAACAGTGTAGGAAACATTTATGAATGATAATTTCAAAGTACAACATTTTTTGAAGAAAAAAAACAAGATGAGCATAAATATATCTGTACATTGTATAGAGGAAAGTTGAAAGCCCAACATGGATACATTCTTGTCTGCTTTAACCTACAGTATATGTCCTGGCAGTGCGTGTCTTGTGTTGTGTGAGGCAGGTGAAATACGTGCCTACAAAATGTCGGGACTTTTTTAATGTGTTGATAGGAAATGCATTCCTCAGAAATTGTAGAGGAATCAAACAAATACAAAGTAAAATTCTAGTTCTGAAGTGCATCATGAGCGCAGGCGACTGGGGAGGGAGGACACTCCAGCACAGTACAAGGCAACTGGGCCTATGCATCTGATTTAATCCTGAATCATTAGCTTCAATATAAGCATTTTTCAACAGCTGGGCCAGTGGTGCAAACCTGCATTGTTTGGACAGATAACCAGTTGAGGCATTATTGAGGAGAAAAAGGTTAGTGAAAGCAAGACAGCATTGCACAAAAATGCATAATAATACAAATATTTCTCCATGTTGAACCCTAGGTCTACACAATGCCACATTTGAGAACAATCCTCTGCAATACAGCGCCGGAGGCTCCCTGACTGAACCTGTCTCCAATATATACATGGAGCTGCGGACTCGATCAGAGAATGCTGTGCTTCTGAGGGCCTCTTGGGGCTCTGACCTGTTTATGGTGGGTCTTCTGGACTCCTCAGTACGAGTAGAAATCCACATTGGCAACAGTGTAGAGACACTGACCTTCACAGGAGTTCGCAGAGTAGCTGATGGGAGCTGGCATCGTGTGAACGTCTCAATGGCTGAGAAGGAGCGCAAACCTGCTCCCTGGGTCATCACTGTGGATGGAATCATAGATACCAGCAGCTTGCCAGAGCGCACAAAAAGCCTGCAATTTATCAATGAGCAGGGGGCCATGTTGGCCATTGCAGAGAGCTTCACTGGCTGCTTGGGTGCAGTGAGAGTTGGTGGAGTCCACCTTCCTTTTATTGATAACTATAAAGCACCACAGCAATCCCAGTTCCATTTTATAGGAAAACCAAAGCTTAATTTAGGCTGCACTAGTACCCCTGTTTGTGATTCAGGCCCTTGTCTAAATGGAGCCACATGTGAGGACCTCTTCAATAAATTTGGCTGTGTGTGTGACTCTGGCTGGGAGGGAGATCAGTGTGAGACTGACACTGATGACTGTGCATCTCAGCTCTGTGTTCATGGAACCTGCAAGGACTACTTAGCTGGTTTTGAGTGCTATTGCCACCAAGGATATACTGGCACACTCTGTGATGAAGATCTCAATGAGTGTGAACATCACGCTTGTGAACATGGAGGCACCTGTCAGGATGGACCTAATATGTACACCTGTATATGTCCCAAAGACTACAGTGGTCCTCTCTGCCAGTGAGCATGCACTCATTCATCAGTTTATAAGTTTTGACATACAGCAATATCTACTTTAGTATACGGTGCACAAAGTAACACTAATTTATTTTCCGACAGGTGGGACTATCCCCCAATACAGTGTGGTGATAATGTCCAGTGTGAAAATGATGGGATCTGCAATGATGGGCTTTGGGGAGCTAACTGTTCATGCATGCCAGGTTTTACAGGCACCAGGTAAGCTTAGTTTGTACACTCCTTATGTGAACTTACAAAATATTGGATGATAAAATATATATAAAATATAGTATAAATAGTATTCTAATTCCATTGTCTTTTTTTTCTCAATGCTAAAATGTCATGTTCTCAAACTACAATATTGGAAAACCAAACATTGAGAATCTAAGAATCATAGCCACATCATAGGCACATTTTGCAGGTGAATACACATTTATCATTTTACTCAATATTTAATATATCATTAATATTTAAATGTTTTGAGCCACACAAATAACATTCCATTTAGGGTAGAAAAATTCAAAATCTTGGACAAATAAAAAGTCAAAGACTTTTGACAAGTGGTACAGGTACGTTGTAACTGTATATATATGTTCTGCTAATATGAAATGTACATTTGACATGTATTTTGTGTCTTGCAGATGTGAAACAGAGATTGATGAATGTGAGTCTAACCCCTGTCGAAATGGTGGATCCTGTTTGGATCGGTTCCACATGTTTGTGTGCGAGTGCCCCCCTGGCTACAGTGGTCCAGTGTGTGACACTAACGTATGTTTACCAAGTTTTATAACATATTATAAGAGTTTTCTTATTAATCATTAATTGGTCAAAAGATGTAACTTGTTAATGTATTGCCTTTCAATATTCTCATTTCTTTTTAATAATGGAATTTTTAGAAATTGTGGATGACCGTTTTTACAAGCTTTTACGTCCATGTGTTTTAGGATTAAGGGCCTGCCCCAATTACTCTCCCTCAGCCCTAACCCTAGATATAAAGTGCTCATTGCTGGGTAGTGTCCCCTAAAAACTGAGCCACAAGGGGTAGAGCTAGAAAATCTTCCCCTCGTAATTGGGACACTACTTGCTACGTCATCAGCAGCCAACCAACGTTATTACAGTGACAAACAATATCAGCTAACATGATTATATTAACAATCATTATCAACAGACATTATAATAGTGACACATCTGACCACTTTGCAGCACAGATTGATCTGATGATCTATACACAGTCAGTCAGCAATTTAGAGCTGCTATTTCAATGTAACGTTAGTCCTGCCCACAGAAAGTTCTCCACAAAGAAAACATTTTAATGTGAGTGGGAAAGTTTGACAAATTGTTCACACTTCATATAGGTTACTCATCACTCTCACTCAGACTGTGTACATGCTTGTTTCGATGGTGTGAATAGCGATTTTCTTGGAACGCTTGTCACAATGATTCAATTACATTTTTGTTTACTACTGAATTAAAATAACATATTCCGGTGGAAAATTTACATGGTTATTTTGTTAAATTCCATGTTTACATTTATGAGCATTTTACTGGCAGTGGTTGCCACGTTGATTTGCTTTATTCGTTATTTAAGCATTCAGGAATATTACTCTACCCCTTTGTTTTTTTTAGGGTGGTCCTGAATATACTACAGTTAAAGGGGTGTTAAAAGGGCTAGATGACCTCAACTCCTAGATTACATTGGGAAACACTACCCCTTTACGGCCACAAGCAAAACGAAGGGGTAGGGCCAAGGAGCAGGGCTATGGGGTGAGTTGAGACAGGCCCTTAGGATGCATGAAAAGTCAGACCACAAATGCAATTGAAGCTGCAAGCAGCGTTGAACACAGTCCTCGCCCCCCCTGCACGTATGGGGTACAGGCAGGACGCAGGTTGACATTGTGGTGTACTGTCATTACCATTAAACATAGCATAATGAGTTAGAGCATGCCCCAAACATGCACTTTGTTGCCATGTAAAACTTGCAGACCAGAAACATAATGATCATTGGGATGATAATGAGTATAAATACATGTAAGTTCCTGTTGTGTGGGCTATAACTTACACTGAATATTGACACGTAGATGTCTTCATTCTAGCACTCTTATCAAGCATGCATCATTTGGAGGAGATGGGACAATTTATATGAGTTAAAACCATTCATTGTTAATGGCAAAGCTTCGAAATACGCCATGTCACCATTACTTTGAGATATAAAAAATATGAGAGAAGTTAGGGGAAGATGGACAATTTATATGTGATTTAGAGCAAAATACCTTTTTAATGGTGAAACATCGAAATTCACCATGCCACTATAATCATGGAGTTTAATAAAAATTCACAACTTTCACAATGAGTAATGATCAATGTCTTAAGGTTGTTCTGGCCAAGTTAGAAGTGGATATGATCAACCTGCTTTGAGAAATAAAATGTCATGTAATTTCTTTTACCAGTAGGCGGCGCTATGACTATAACTGGCAAGTAGATGTCGTCAGACTAGGACGCTTGTCTAAAATACAGAATTGAAGTGAGTTACAAACATTAATTTGTGAAGGCAAAACATTTAACTTAGGCATACTGCCACCAATGCTGGTTTAATTAAAAAGTAACTATTTTCAATTGTCTTGAGGCTTTTCTTACCAGGTTATGATGGATGTGTTCAACCTGCAAGGAAAAGCAATTCAAACCAATATAAAAATGTCATCTCCTTTTGCCAGTAGATTTAGAGTTTATATGAGAACTAGAACAACTTCCTATCATGTCAAGACAATGAAATCTGCCACACCGCCACAGACACTAGGGGGTGCCCTTGAGTAATTTGTTCACACCCATGCTCAACAACATTATTAGAAATTAAGTTAAACCAATCTTGATGAATGTGCAAAATTATTTCATACGCCTTGCCATTGATAAATGCTAAAAGTAATTAGGGGGCACTATGGCCAACTGTCACATTAAATCAAATCATTTATTAATTAAAACATCTTTGCAATGTTTCATGAGTTTTTATGCATGCTATAGGCATCAAAAACAATATTGTTAAATGAAAAGTCACACAGGAAATTCAAAATGGCAGACTTCCTGTCCATTCCAAAAATAAATTAATATTATTTAAAATTTCAATATGAGTTAAAGAATCTCACCCAATTTCATTTATATCCAAGCATCTTCCATTTGGCCAATTATGTGGTCCAGGGGCGTTCTGGAGCCCCCTGACCATGCCCAAGCCTAATCACTCAAGTACTTTGCAATTTTCATCAGTGCTCGGGTCCTAATGATGAAATTATGTCTACATCAGTAAGGCACAATCTCTATCTTCTGTTTCTTTGCAGAAACAAGCTCATAAAGAAGGCCTCTCCTGGCTGGTGGTAGCTATCCCGCTGCTCTGTTTCTCCATTCTAACACTGATCATCAGCTTGACCTTCATGGTGCTCATGGCCAGAAAGAAACGCCAGTCGGAGGGTGTATACAGCCCCAGTGCTCAGGAGCTGGCAGGTGCCCGGCTGGAGATGGACAGCATGCTCAAAGTCCCACCAGAGGAAAGACTCATCTGACAAAAAGGCTGAGAAACTAAGGGTGTTAGAGGTGATACTAGCACTATGAGTTTGTGTGCAGGATTAACTGAAACTTTTATTGAATACCTGGGCTGGTGTGAAGGACAGATATTGTAGGATAATGTCCTCTTTGTATGAAGGAACACCGGTGAAGATCAAGTACTGACTAGTGTTGCTCCTCTGTAATTTACTTGAAACAGTGACTTGCTACAAAAAACAGTCAGACTTGACTGGACTGGTTGGAAAAATGTTCAAACCTTTTAAATTAAATGTTCTACTTGAACGGTGTGTTGAGGATATTTTGACAATTGCTGTTCTACTTAGAAGACATTGGGCCTCATTCATTAATTTAAGATGAAATTTCTTCTTTAGACCCACCTCTGCAGCTTTTGCAAAGATCCTGACACTCACCTGTGTTTTCTTATCTGTAATTTTTTCTTATGTAATAACAGAATCTATGCTCACTTACACATACACTTG